CTATAGGTGGGAGTACGAGAAGGAAGAAGTTGAATAACAGTGTCAGTTTTGAACAATCAACAAGCACGGAACAGACGTAAAAAAAGTAATACGAACTAGTGGGATTGGGGTACACCGTAGAACGACATGGAACAAAAATAACAAAGAATTAAAAGAACATCCAAATGCCATTTTGTTTTTTCCGGATTATACCTCCTGAGCTTTTGATACTTTGTTACCTTATCGGATTGTAAATAGCCGTTTGGGTTTTGTTTACCCCAGCGCTGATTATTCATGGTCAAGAATTAGCTTTAGTGGAATGTGTCACCTACTTAGGTAGTTGCGTGACAAATGACGGTAGCATAGTCAAGGAAGTGACTGCTCGCATTTACAAGGCTCCAGCAGCTTACACAGGACCAAAATACCTTTGGCGCAGACGCGATGTCTCTTTGAAACTGAAAGCTCGTGCATACTGCGCCAATGTGCAGGGTCAGTCCTCCTCTATGGTTGCGCGTGGAAGATATTCATCAACTGGAAGTCTTCGACTGCCGATGTTCACGTTGTTTGGCGCGAGTTGGATGGATCGGGCGTGTAAGCAACTCTGAAGTAAGGCGTCCAGTGTTTGGTAATGATTCCATGGAGAATTTTTTGTCCCATTGAATTCAGATTATTCCGCTTCACTGGTTAGGAAACGTATTGCGCATGCTGTCATCGTTTACCGCAGCGCGCTTTATTTGCAGTCGCGGCTCCACGTTGAGAGAAACCGTGTGGAGCTCAACAGATGACGAGGAAACGAGGCCCGAAGAAATGCACAGAGCAATTAGGTAGGATCGGTGTCTCCCGTTTTCCACGTTGGGATACAAAAGACTTCTCAACTGGTTGGTTGGAAGCACTGAACAATATGGCTGCGAACCGACAGCATTGACTTCCTAGTTGTTGCAATTCTTTGTCACCAGGTCAGAATGTTTGAAAGAGTAGGTACGCACACTTAGATTGTGTACTCTGCTTGTTGACCATAGAGGTTCACTTTCTTCGCGTCCCTAGCCATATTGTGATTTATCACTTGATTTATGTACNTGTCTCCCGTTTTCCACGTTGGGATACAAAAGACTTCTCAACTGGTTGGTTGGAAGCACTGAACAATATGGCTGCAAACCGACAGCATTGACTTTCTAGTTGTTGTTGATGTTTATTATCAGGTTCAATCCCTTTCCATCTTGTACTTTATGACTTAGTTAGCGTACGTTTTTAGCTTGGAAGCGATCGGCGAAGTTCGCTTCACTGTATCTCGCCGTACGATGATGATGATAATCTCTTAGATCTATATATGGTTTTCCACTGCAGGGTTACGGGGCTTAGATCGCCGATGAACAACAGGTCCTCGTGAGTTGATATTCTATCCCTTCCACTGATCATCACACATCAACAGGAGAGAGGAATCAACCAAACTGTCCCAGATAAAGTGCCGCTGAACCCTTTTCGTTTAGCAATTTGATAAGCAGAAAAACAACCGACAAGCAATCATGGATGTTATGGGTAGCTGGAAAACTCACTTGAGGACATCGTAGGTATCAATGAGACCGACAAACTGGGAGGGAAACGCGTATGCGTAGTTAGCGAACGCAGCCAATTCGCCTGCGTGCAACTGATCCGGAATATAGTCCAGCACTGTGCCCAAATGTCGAGACCAGTACCAGCACCGCTCCATGAATCTGTTCAAATCCAAAGGCTCTTCGTGCAAGTCAAGCAACCCATTGGCTTCAGCACAATCATTCACGCTTGTACCATTTCCATGGGAGGCTTTCACATGGTTCACCGTGTCATTTATGCACGACTGTACATCAGACAAAGGATAGTAAGCAGAATTTACATCGCGTAGTATTGCATGTACGTTTTATTAGCAACATTCCATTTCGGTGGTTATATGAAGGTCTGATAACCATTGAAAAACCTACCCCAGCATATCAAGTGCTAAATGAGTGGTTGATATATCCAAATTGTCGTAAGCAGAATGATCTATGAGTGGTGTATATCCAAAACAAACCAAACTTGGTAGACTAATTGTGTGATAAGCATTAAAGTGAATGAACACTGGTGTCGCGGGTGAATTATGTTCCATTATGCAAAACTAGAACCTCCATCTTATGATGTGGAATGGAGTGGTCTTGTGTTGGAAGACAGTGAAAAAAGTGGAAAAAACAGGCATTTAAAACAAGTCAAACAACTTTTGTATGACACAGTATCACTTACAAGCAGCACGCACAATGAGCACAAGTAAAACCCGGACCGAGAACATACGACGGGACAATGTAGCACAAAACAAATTAACACACAGTAGTGATTGGTAGGGAACAGAAAATTAGAAGTTAACAGACGGCGTGAGCTATATAACACAGGAAACATACAAATAAGGAGAAAATCCTAACATTACGCAGAAAGTACCTCGGTGACCATGATAATCACTGGAACCAAGCATTTGCGACTATAGCACAGTATGGCGAACCTACTAGCTCAGTTTTCAGTTATTACAACCATTGACTATGCATATTTGTGCGCCGGCTTGAATGCTGCCTTTTGGCGCCCATTTGGATGCACAGTAGAAGAAAGGCGGGAAGTTGAAAGTAGAGTCAGAGAGAAAATGGAGAATTTTAGTGGACTAAGGTTGTAAGGAAACTGAGAAGATGCAGGAACGCCATTGTTTACGACACATCCATATCAAGTAAAGTGTTATGCACCCAATAGGATGAATTTTCAGTGTCTCAGTGTCTGTAATCTCCGGTTACCATGATCTCGGAGTCCCCGTTGAGGGAGCCTAATGGTACCTATGTGACCCAGTGTCCTAGTTAGGGTTTTCAAATCCGCAGGTCAAGTCATAATCTGACGACCCTGAGTTTATTCCACCCAATACCTGCCTCGGCAAACATGATGTGCCGTGGAAACCTATTTGGTGACATGCGTAACACATGCCCCAACAAACATCATTTATGGCGACCGACCACTTGCTAGTGGATAGGACTAACCCAGTCATGTAGCAACACTTTACACTTTGAAGGTGTAAAACGCATACCGAATATGGCTATGTTGACATTCAAGCTATCCAGAGAAGCCTACAATTTGCTTGGATCTGTACTTAGCAGCACAATGTCGTCTGCATACTCCGGATCAGACAATCTGCCATTTGGAAGCACATCGATGCCACTATCCTCGTACGGGGATAGGGCTGTTTCCATAACAAAGTTAAATAGAAATTGAGAGGAAGGGCAACCCTGGCGAACACCACTTTCCGAAGTGAACTCGGTAAAAAGTGCCGCAAGCTCGGACTCCGCTTCGGCCATTAGTATGAAGAGATTGAAATAAACTTCTCAGGCACACCCTTCAGGGAGAGGCAGCATGAGTTTAGAGCGATCGACTGAATCGAAGGCCGTTTTCAGATCGACGAAGACAAAAATAATGGGTCTAAGAAAAGAATTTCGGTGCTCCAGAATTTGGTGAAGCAGATCTAAAACCAGCCCGATTCCCACGCGCAGCGGACAAATGATGGAGTACGATAATAGTGAGAAGTTCGGATTAAACTAATTCCTTCGCGGTTTGCACAAGAGGATCTGTCACTTTTCTCGTAAATTGGTATGACGACCTATTCACACCATTTTGCTGGAACGTATTCCCTCTCCCATATTGAGCCTAGGAGTTTCTTCAACTCCAAAACTAACATCCTACAACCTACATCCTCAAAACCGATGGGGATAACCCATCTGGGTCGGAGGCCTTACAGCTTTAGAGGAAACTTATTTCCCGGGAAACTGACGCCTTTGAAGCACTTCCCCTGCCTAACGGGAACATCGTGACCCATAACGAAATTAGTCGTCGTGTGTTACGTACTGATAGTCGTTCTCCAACGGAAGTAATCGTTCTACACAAGCGACAATGGCTTGATTATCTTTTGCGTATGGCTGCTGATTGTCTGCTTTTCCGTGCTCGCAACGCATGTGTTTGGCAAGGTTGGGAGAAGCGCCGCGGCGGTCACACCATGACCTGGCGTAGAGGTATGAAGCTAGCTTCAACTTTGACTTCGGTTGGTGCAGCTCGCTGTCGGGTCTGGACCTAAGGGATGAGGATTGCTGATGGCTCAAAATAGATGTGCGACTGCGGTGCGTTTTGTTTGCTTAAACCCCGTTTATCATAATAGACGAAAAATTTCAAACGGTACGATGAAACTAACAAGAAAAGACGGTTCTTCATTTTCTCTGTTCTTTTTCATCTTCCCATTTCATCAAGCTTTACCCCTTCCTATCATTATTATCATTGATTTTGCATTGACACCATGCTTGTCCTCAAGACGGTGTAAAATATATATGAACGGGGACCAAGTGCTCGAGAGTCTGATTCATCATAAACGAGGACAAGTGGAGCAGTAAACAGAGAGTGATGGTTTGTGTCAATACAACTACAACTACGACGAAGCTCTCTTCACGCCAGTCCATAACTGCATCAGCACAGCATAAAACGCATGATGTCACGTGATCGAGTTGGATACCAACGCCGAATATCTAAAAACTGATACGCATGCTTCAAACCATCTTTCACAGGCAGGCAATGGATCGGATGACAGCACATTTCGTGCGGTCCACCATGTCCACTGAGAGGTAAAGGGCATAGGGGAATCATCGCACTGTTGACAATAGTGGCATAAACTGGCGCATCGACTAAAAAAGAAGCGCAAAACAGAATTATAGCTCATTTTAGTCCGATACTTGGAGTTTATTTATGATTTCTGAATAAAGTTGCAGTCTCAGTATAGCGTTCCTAGACAAGCTAACTGGGGAAGAGTAAGAATGTTCATGGCTGACAAAGATGCATTCGGTCTGTATTTGCCCATGAACTGTGGTTAGACAGACAAAATATGGCAACTGTTTGATATGGAAAATCTGAGAAGGGATAATTCCTCTGGAGCATCGTAACTTGGACCATTCGATATGCCATTTGGCCGTAGACACGGTTCTAGGGTATTGCAAGATAATTTGATTTAAAACCGAGAAGTATTAGTTTACGAACGAATCGTGAATGAGATAGACTAGTTAAGTTTTGCTTGACTGAGTCTCGAAGCGATTTCAGCATTTCACATTAGGACAAATTATCAACTGCGTTTTAGGTGATGGCCGTTCATGTAAGCAACATTTAAAGGACAGTGAATAGTGAGGTCTCCTTATAATGCTGAAGATAACAGCAGCCGGAACTTTAGGGGGTGGCAGGAACCTACCTGTATCACTTTGCATCCAACTCAAGTCATGAGTTGTAGTGAAGCTGGTTATCATTGTCATCAGAGAAGCCGTCCTTCCAGCGGAGTTTCCGATGGGCATTTTATCGAAATTTATTAAGCTGTGATTTCTCATCAATGCGTACATGTATATGTCAATAAACTGAGGCAGATAAAGTTAGTTCGGATCTCTCGTGAAGTATAGGGTATCTACCAGAAGAGACGCCAACCGGAGAAACTCACCGAGGCTGTCTTTTCTTGGTAGACTGAGACAAAAGAATGAGCATGGGTACCAACGACAGGTATGCCAAACAACTTCCCGGCCAACACATTACTCGTGCCATCATATCCTGTGAACAGAAGCGCAGAAAGTGATGGACAGTGAAAATATGGTACACAATGGTAGAGGTGGAAGTGTTTTGAAGATGAAACCGTACAAGACAACTTTAACATCAACTCAGCAAATCCATCAAACCATTATATTACGTTACATTATAAAATATTTATATGACTGTGCAAGCCTGAGGAAGAAGAAAAGAAGCAAAAGAACTTCTGTTCGCTTAGGTGTTTTCTAGACATCACAATGGGAATAGTTAGAGAGCTGAATGGCAATGAGGACGGCAGTAGAACTGGTGCCAGTGAAACAAAAAAGATCCGGATATCAAAACTATCAAGCAACTGTACCGGTGTTACCCAGATCAATATTAATCATATACGACTGGTACTTTCGATGGCCCGAGGTTAGAAAATCCATGCTCTGGGATGCCGGTTATGGTAAGTGAACGGGTGAATCTGGAGACCATGCGGATGACGCCCTCTGCCACTTATTGCAATATACAGTATACAAAATAGAATGAAGGCTTTTTATGGACTTAGCTACTCGGTTATGACATTTGATTTTTATCGTA